GGGCGGGGCTGCTCGTCCTCTTAGAAGGAAAAGCTCCCAAGTACAAGGATTAACAAACGGCAGACAAAAGCACAGCAACTCCCATTATACTGCACAAGGCCTATTCTGAGGTGGTGATAAGCCTTACAAGGCTACCTTCTCCTCCATTCCTACATGCACCAGGCGAGCCTGCTGGAGTTATTATGAGGGATGCCCCTCGGTTGAGTGTGATTGCTGTAACTTATAGCCTCTTCTGGAAGGAAGAAGCATCTCGGGCTCCCCCCCCCCCCCCCCCAAAAAAAAAAAAAAAAAAGAACAGGAACCGCCTCCCATCTTGAAAGATTTCTCTCTCGTCTCTCTCCCGCCTCCAGGATCCAACCGCGCCGCTTTGCAGAAACGGGCAACTTCTGCATTGAGGGAGGACTACAAGAAAAAACATGGCTACCAGGCCCCCTTTGTTCGCAACACACGGCAGCGCGAGAGAGGCAAGAGAAAGGCGAGGCGGGAAGGCGAGGCGAGGCGCGTAAAGCCGCTGCCGGGTTGTCTCTGCAGCCTGGCGCGGAACTCGGCTCAGCGATCCCCGTTGACCCCGCCTAGCGGTGCCCTCTCCGTGCGAGGTTGCTTAGCTACCGGGCTCTGCTCCAAGCCAATGAGGGAAGAGGAGGCCGGCGGCAATTTTCCTCAAGTGTGGGAGGATGAAGCGCCTCAGGCCCTTCCTCCGCGCCGCTACCCTTTGGAACGAAGCCTCGCGCTGGGGGAGGGGGGTGGGTGAGAGAGAGACCCTTCCATGGTTCTTCGGCTTGTTGCTGCCTCCCCTTCCCTCAACCTCTTTTTTTTTTTTTTAGCCCCGCGGGTCGCAGCTCAGCGGGGAAATAGGAATCCGCGGGCAGGTTGCTGCCGATTTCAGCCGAGTAGAATAAGATCCCGCGTGATCCAACCCTGGCCAGCTCCACAAGTTCGTCCGCCGAGGGTGAAGAAAAGAAGGGAAGAATGGAGGAAAGGGTGCCAGGAAAAGGATGAGGGAGAAGATTAGGCGTGCAGGCCAAGCCAGGCATGCTTTTTTTTTCTTTCTTTCTTTCTTTTTCTTTTTTGACCACGAGGACAAAGAACAAATCCGTTAGGGAGCAAGACGTTCGCGATCAACTCGAAGTTCCTCCCCAACATTATTGCTCTGCTGCTATTGCTGTTGTTTTAACGCTACTGTACTACCAGTGTACTTTCAGCTTTAGGAAAGCCGGCAATTCTGCATACAAAGAGGGGAAAGTGGTCTGTAGCTGGAAAGGATGAGAGAAAATATAGACCTGCTCCCTTTAGGGATTATGGAGAAGCATTCACATAAACCTCCTTGTAATTCAGCCCAGTACATTTGACTGAGATTTATTTTTCCTAGAAATATACTTAGGCGGGCAGCCATAAAGGGAGAAGAGAATGGTTTCCAAAAGAGAGAATGCTTTCAGAAAGGTTCCTACACTACAGATGTCATCTTTAGTACTGCTCTTCTTCCCACCCCACATGCTGCAGAAAACAAGGGGGGGTGGGGGAATCGATAATAAACTTTAAGCTGAGAAAACGGTAAGTCTGAAATGAAAGTTGCTGTAGTACAGAATTGAGAAAGGCTATATTTCAAAATCTGACCACATTGTTTTTCCGTGCAGGTTTAGGACCTGAGACACCTGGCCCTATGGCTGGTCCTTAACCTTCAAATAATTAAAAAGAGGCACATCTTCAAGAAATGCATTTTCAGCTTTGTAAAGTTAAATGGAAATGGCCTCCTCTGTCCTTCTCCTTAGTATTTATTCTCCTTAGAAACCACAAAGCCTGGAAGTTTCTTTGGGGGGAAATGCTGCTGTTTTTTCCACAAAGGCTGAGATCTGAAGACCCTATTTCAGTATGCTATAATTCTTTCAGATAATACAATAGTTCAGGGACAACACAGATTTTATATGTGGAAATGGCTAGTTTCTATATTACCAAAATCTAAATAGCAGGAGAAACTTTGAGCCATATTTTTTATTATAAGACATTACAATCAGGAGCAAGAGTCAATCGGATTGCTATGCGCAGCTATAGAAATTGAATAAAAAAAATTTTAAAAATTGCCATTGAAAAAAATGGCATTCCATCTCTCTTCCTTGTTGGACCCAAATCCCACACCTGTTTATATGGAAGTAAACGGTAGTCAAATAGAGGCTTTTTGCCAAATAATTTGTTTTAACCCCTGAATAGTGGTGTTTTTGGCCCCCTGCAGTCAGGCAACAAAAACAAACAAACACCACATCCCCAGAAAATAGAGCCAAGGCAAGTTTTATTTCCAATTGGTTTATGATTTTCCCATCTCAACTTACATCACCCAACACGATTCTAAACACGTGGTCTTTCAGGCACAACTTGACTTCAAGCAAAAGAAATAAAAACCTTTATGCAACAATCTTGATCATAGTTTAATTACCAGAATGTCAGACTTGATTTGCAAGTTTTCCCAATGAAAAGTTTGAAAAAAGTTATCTCTATACCAAGACTAGTTGCGTTTATCTGTGTGTATGAATAGTTGTTTCTCCCATTCCCAGAAGGTTCATAACTTGCTTTCACTTCTTCATATGAGTTTAGGGAAGAAAAATAACACAAAACAATTCAGATGCCATTTGAAGTTAAGCCCATAAAACATGAAGCTGTGGGCCATATCAGGACATCCTAGAAAGGTCTATCAAGTTACATTCCATATGCATAGAGTTGATTTATAGAAGCTGAAAATAAAATACGTCCTCCCATGAGGAACACAAAATAAATTAGACATGTTATTTATTTATCAATGGTGATATCTAAGAATTTCCTGGAAGAGTTTCTAGGGATTGTGTACTTGTTCAATTTAGAACTTACTGATTGGGCATATTATGGTTTTATAATAGCTCTGAGTATGTGCATTTTAGAAAAAGCAAAGTATCATAGAAAGCAACTTTAGATCCAGAAGTGGTTAAAATATTTCTTCATTTGAAGCTGTTTATTCTGTCTTGTTTACAGATTTACAACACTTGAATAAAAGTGAGATTTAACAAAAGGGTACATATTCCATCTTCATTGTTAACATGGTATATTTAAAACAACAACAAAAAAGGAATGAGGGGCAATAATATGATTTTTTAAAATATACTGTCACCATCATTGTCCAGCCAAGACACAAATCTAAGAGTGAAAATCCTCTTCCAACAAAAAGATCTGCAGGAGCTGCCATCAGGATGCACAGAAATGGAATAGCACTATTAGTCAAGCCGAAATGGGAGGTTTCATCCGGCCCTTGTCCAAGGCATTTCCAAAGATCTGCATCCTAACTCAGCAGTCTGGAAGACAGTAAGAAATGCTTCTTTCTGAATGAATGGGCAGCTGTAGCTTCTAACATCTACCTAGTGTCACTTTTATGCTGAGGAACACTTTATAATAAATCCAGGGAGAGATTAAATACAAGATATAAATAAAGTGGGAGCCCAGGAAGGATGTTTGTGTTCCTTGTCCATTTTAGGCTTCAGGCAGAAATGCTTGTTTACACGAGGATTGCATCAATCCTGCTACAAACAACTATTATTAAATATTGATAGATCTAGTAATTTCCTATCTCAAAAGCCATTCAGATTTCCCTACACCCTAGTACAGTCTTTCCTTGTAGATACTTGATTGTCAATATTTCATTCAAAATTTGTCTTCTCCTTTTCCTCCTTAATCAGCAAAAGTAAGTTCTGGTTTCTGATAAGGTGTACAAAATTGATCTATGATTAGAATAAATAGCATATAAATAATATAACAATAATAACAATAATAACAATAATAACTGAAAGGGATAGTTCTTAGTTTGAATTACTGTGGAACTACTAAATGACATCAATAGCATTATATTGTTTCTAATCTATCAAAGGTTTTGGCTATTTTACGTTCAAACAACAAGACAAAATGGTCTCTGTAATAGATAGTAAAGATGTCATTTGAGCCATTCATAGCTGAAGTAATTCCATTATACTCAATGGGCTTACCTCTGAGAAAACAAGTATGGAACTGCATTATAATTTATAGTTTCTTGGATGGTTTATGGATGTCAAAGATGGCCAATACCCAAATTGCCAGAGGAGAGAATATTTTTAAATAAGATGCACTCCCACCCCAATATTTTTAAACGTTTTAAAAGTAAAAGGATACCAAACAATCATGAAATAAATTAATATGTTGTGTATTTATATGTTTTTAAATGTAACAGCTGTTTGTGATAATGCTTCAATTTTGTATTAATCTATGACTTGACTTACAATTTGCTTAATCCTTACATAAACTACAAACACCAGCCACTGTTACAACTGTTCAAAACTACTCTTTCTATTTCTGATCAAATATACTAAATAGGTGAAAATGTATAGTTACCAAAGACCTGAATTAAACTTTCAAAATTAGGGAGAAGGGAATGAAGAAATTCTACAAATATCCACATAAATACATTGAAGGCCAAGATTAAATAATGAGTATTTTTTAAAAGTTATTAAAATAATAAATACATCTTATTTAAGTCCAAAGCAATTGTCCACATTGCTGAAGGATCCCATAAATCAACATCTCTGGAATAAGGTCCTCATTTTGGTCCCAACTGTGTTAAACTCCTCATCAGTACTCATGTTTTGCTAATACTAACAAATTTCTACAACTTATTTTTCAGTACATCTTTACCAATTAATATTCCCTTGTGGGAATTATTTTTAAAGGATATTGCACTGTCATGCTTTAAAACTTTTTTTTTTATTCAAAAAGAAAGGAAAACAAAACCACAGAGTTCAGGAGTTGTCAATGAAATAAAAAAGATAATTTAGCTGTTACTGGACACACACGCACACACACAATCCACTAACACTCAGGATTCTGAAAAATAATTATCAGGAAAAAGTGAGGTAATTGAAACATGAGGATCTTTCTTTCTCTCTTTCATTCCTTTTTTCTTTCTTTCCTCTTCCCCCTTTCCCCCTCTCTTTCTCTCCATATGTTCCATTTTACTACAGATGTGTTAGTTTGGGGGCTTCCTGAATCCTTCCCTGAGATGTGTGATGAGAAGTGAGATCTGTGTAGGTGGGGTGGGGGTCACAAGGTCCATGATGATGGTTGCCGGGGATCTGAGCAGCGCAGCTGTAGTCCACGCTAGCAGAGGAAGGGTGAGAGAGATGGCTGATGTTGAACATCGGGCCGGAGGCTGGCATGGAATCCACGAAGTTCCCTCCAACGTAGACAGGGCTACCCTGCAAACTAGGATTGGCAAAACCACCCCCATTGCTTTGCATGGTGTGGTGGTCGTACTCAGCTCCAGGGTATCTTTTCTGCTGGGGCAAACAGCTGCTGAGCGGAGCTGTGTAGGCAGCCAGGCCATACAGATTTTGTTGCGACTTGGCAAAGGAGGTTGGCGATGGGGCAGTGTCGTAGCTCAGGGCCCCAACACTGGGCAACTGGCTGGTATAGCCAACATGACTTGGACCGCTTAGGGGTGGACTTCGGTCTGGAGACTGGCCGACTGGGGAGTGCATAATCCCTTTGGCTTTCTGGTCCTTTTTGTATTTCATCCTACGGTTCTGAAACCAGATCTTGATCTGACGCTCAGTCAGGTTGAGAAGGTTTGCCATCTCCACACGGCGCGGACGGCAGAGATAGCGGTTGAAGTGGAATTCTTTCTCCAGCTCCACCAGCTGAGCGCTTGTATAGGCTGTGCGGACTCTCTTGGAAGCTGGGCCAGGCGGGCTCTTGTCTTCACAATTCTCTCCTGTCAAAGAGAAAGAAAAGAGATAGGTCGATGGGCTGTTTGAGTTACCCCAGTGGGTGGCATCCACCATGCAAAGTGTCCTGCCAGAGGTTGTTGTAGAATGGGAAGCTGAAGACCCTTTGGTGTTCCGAAGCTGCAGTGGACCGAATGCCAATGTGAAAAATATGCCTAAAAACTCTAAATGCCCAGTTTGAATCCAGCCATTCACATTGCACTCTGAACTGACACTCTTCAGTAATTTTCAGGGCAGTCTCTAGGGTAGATGATCAAGGCAGGGCACCAACAGCGCCACCACCACTGCAGTTTCAGCTGTATTCCCTTTTAATTCCTGCCCTCCTCCCCTCCCTTCCTTTTGAAGCTGGCTTTCACAGTAAATTCAAAAGAGCCCAGGTCTCAGCGCTTTGCACAATTGCAATCAATATGTGAAGGCCCCTGCCTCATAATCAGGGAAAGCAAAATGCATGCCAAGGGATGCTTCCAACAAAGCCTTAGATCACTTTGGTGTTTCTCTTCTCACCAGCCTACTATTGAAATTCTTAGCCCTCCACCCCATCTCATCCACCCATTCCACAAAGTAGATAGCAAGAAACTAGGTTCATCTCTATACCTTATTTGGACAGCCAGTGATTGAAGCTGGATGCTGGGGGTGGGGTGGGGTGGGAGGGGCCTCAAAGGGATAGGAAAGTTCCAGCTTCTGGCAAGAGAGCTGTAAATCATCTAATTTAATTGGAGAAATCAATTGATCCCCCTGACAAAACCCAGGAAGGTCTGTCTAAGAGATCCAAACAGGACAGGACCCAGGCTCCAAACTCTGAAGACAATGCAGCAGTGAGAGCCCCAAGTGTGCTGATTATCTCTGAGATAGTACTCTAACTATTGGGAAGGCTGCTGAGCTGGGGATCCCCATGGGAAAAGTCCCCCTCCCTCCTTCATCCAACTGAGCAGCCATTTCAAAATCAGAAAGAGCCAGCTATCAGGATCTGGGTCTGCACTGCCCCTTCCTCTCTCTGCTCATCAGACAATTTTGAAAAGGGGAGGAATGTGGGGGCCATCAAGTAAAGTCCCAGCACTTCCTCCTACTGGATTAGAAAATTATGTCAGGAGGGTGGCTTTAGAGGAGAAGGCCACACCCGGTTGGAGACACAGTCTCATCTCTCATTTCATCATCCATTTTGGAATTAGTAGCATTTAGGCACCTCAAATGATTTTATAGATTCTCTATAAAAGAGCAAAAGAAACTGAGAGGGATGGTCTCCTAGAGACACATACGAACAAGTCCAGCCCTGCCATTAGGCTGATCAAGGCAACTGCCCCAGATTTCAGATATATGCATATCACAAAGGGCAGTGGTTTATTATTTATTTTGTAATGAGGTGGTGTGGAGAAGAACTTGGGGGGATTTCTTTTTCCTATGCCATAAATAGTTGCATAATTTTGAGTAGAACACACCATGACTTGGGCAGAGCTGGGGCAAGTATAATTTGGTCCTTGGCTGTACAGCTTGTTATTTTTAAAAAAAAAAAAAAAAGTTAAGCAGTATGGTTAATATTTAGCTCAGAGCCATGACGTGCTAGCATAAAGGCTCTTTGAAAAAGAAATATGTAATTAAAAATAAAGAACATATGGCAACCTACTTTGAAAAATATGAGTTACTCAACTTTGAAATGCTGTAACAGAGAGTGAGCTTCTCAAATATCTCATTTCTTTTTTGTTCAATTTACAAACTCAGCCAAGTAGGTACATGTTCTTACACGAAAAGTGGCATTGATTTTAATATAATTTATAAAGTTTGTTTTCAGTAGGGAACTTCTTATGAGGAATCCTGCATTATCAAATCTAGAAGAGGAATACATTTAAAACAAGGATGGGTTGATGTTACAAGCTGTGCTTATGTCTACAATATGTCTCCATACAGCTGTTATGCCTAGGGCAGACAACTACGTTTCAAAAATTGGGATGGGACACCACAAGCCTTTTCACTAAAAGAGGGTGGGGAGTGGCAGAATCTTGAATCTTGCCTACCTAAGTTTTCATGTTAATTAAAGGCCCCTAACTGGTGATCTTAAAATGTGTAAGATTACAATTCCTATCATGGCCAACCATGGCCCACCAAAAGGCACCAAACGTGGAAAGAGAAATCATGTCTTCATCTGGCTGTATGCAGTTATTTATTTGCTTTTATGGCATTTTTGCTCTCAAGGACAGAAGGGGCTTTTAGGAGCCACCACAAAACGCCGTCTCGGTTTCAGAGACAGATTGTTAGAGCAGGCCAACTACTGAGGGCATTCCCTGGGTATCAGTTTAGTAGCAGGTGGGGGTGTGTGTGTTGGATGGGCTTTGGGCCTGTCCTAGCAGGGCCTCTTTGTGTTTCAATGACTTCCATGCGACATCATCCTCTCAGATGGAGCCTGCGAAGAACCCCGCCCTCATAGATACCCAGGTAAGCGAGCTGGATACCTGCGGGCGGGCAATTGTTTTTCTGCTTGGCGTTCTGCCGCGATTCTTTCATCCAGGGGAAGATCTGCTTACTAATCGTGGACGGGGAGCCGTTGGAAGAATTAGGCCCGCTTTTGCCCTTCTTAGCAGACCCCGCGTGGGTGGCGTTGTTAGGCGGGGAGGGAGAGGGCATTGTAGGGGGCGGCGGCGGTTGTTGCTGAGGCGGCGGCTGTTGTTGGTCGCCCAGGCCCGGCGGCGGCTGAGGGACCGCCTGGCTTCCCCCGCCGGGCCGCATGCAGCTTCCGCCAAGCTCCGAGCTTTTGTGAACAGGAGGCGCTCCTCGGATAGGGGCGGCGCTTTGGAGGGAGCAAGCCGACCCTGGGTAGTCAGTCTCCAGAGCGGGCTGGGCGTAGGGCTGAGGCGGGCCTGTGGTGTAGCCGTAGGCGTCCGCTTTGCCGTAGCCGCCGCTGCCGCCGTAAGCCCCGAAGAGCGTCGAGTTGTCGTAGTAGGCGGTTTTCTGCATCTTAGGCTCTGCGGTCGCCAAGGCCTCGGGCGCCTGCTCAAACAACATTGACCGTCAAGGCCCTCCCGTTGCTCGGCCTTTGCTTTCGCACGTCTTGGGCTCCGGCCAGTCGCTGCCCGCGAAACACCTGGAGGATAGAGAGGAGACGAGAAGCCATTTGAGGCGGGAGAGCATACGTGTCTGAAACCGTGGCTGGGCCGCGTGCCCTGTTTTCCTCACACATGGAGTGGCTCTGTTTTCGAGTTATGCACGACAGGACTCAGTCAGTCTCCCACCCCACCCCGGTTACCTTTATCCAGACGCCCAGTGACAGGCCAGCAAGTAATGTTGACACAACCCGTCACTGAAGACTTAGAATAACTTTATTGTCACTTTGAATGTACACTAATCGGCATATATTAAAATGAAATTACATTGCATACAGCTCTCAAAGGGTCTCCACCTCTAATATACATTATATACAGACGACTAAATAAATAAATAAATACAAAATCATGCATATAATTGTACTGAAGCACATTTGCCATGGTTTTAAAACTCAAGCAAAGGAGAAGTGGAAAAGGTTATCTCCTGGAAATGTTATCCTCATTCTGATACATTAAAGTGTAAGATAATAGGATTCCGGTTGTTCCAACTGCATTTTTCCCATTGGAATAGTTCCCAAGGCTTTTCCTACCTTCACAAATAGCACAAGCGTCTATGGACAGAGACGTAATTCTAGAAGAAAGCTATCTTGAGGTCTTTTTAACCCAGTCTCTGCAGCCAAGAACACCTGTTTGTCTACAAATACTGTATCTCATCATAATGCAGAGAGAACTACAAGTCCCATTACGTTGGCTTGTAGAGGTCACATTAGCTGGTGATTCTGGGAGCTGCAGTACAATTTACCTCCAGGGAAACAGTTTGAGAAAGACTGGTCTAAAGAATGACTTGTTAGCTTGTTAGCTATTTGAGCAGTTCCTACACCAGATTTTGTGATGTATCCACTTGTAATGATATGTGAGGAAGACTTTGAGAGATGGGTGAAGAGATACTGCCATGGGAATAGTCAGATAAGAGATGGCGTAGCCCACAGCCACAAAGCAGAGCAAAAAGCTCTGAAAGGACCCTCCCTAGCTTTTCAGGCTGTAAAGGAGATGACAGGAGATAAATAATTCCAGAATTTCAAGATTCTGTTATTATAGCCTTACAATAAAGGCTATATTATTTCTAATATTTCCTGTCTGGTTTACCTGGCAAGGCTGACACTGCCCAATGCTTTAGCACAACCTGTCAATGACAAGCATGGGTTCAAACAGTAGAAACCCATTAGTTCACTTCTTTATTAATCATCACAGGCCTTCAGTAATCTTGCCTAACATTTGACTTATTTGCCCCTCCACAGCAAGGAAGTCCTTGTCATTTATGGGTGGTTTCTGCTACTGTGCTCTATACCTGTAAGTTCATCCTTGAATACACACATAGGCAGCCATCCAAGCATTTCACACATTTCATCATTGGCCTCACTTGCCAACTTTCTCCCCCCCCCCTCCATCTAAGCAAATATCTGGCAGTCAGCTATTCATATATTTCATCCTCATCCTAAACAAAGTTACATGCCACAAATGCCATTGAAATCAATTGCTTTCTCTTCCAATATGAATACCAAGAATCAGGATATGCAGAGAGTAGCCCTGATTCAGTCAGGGTCTGAGACTTACACTCTTGCACTTCCATTCAAACAGAAGCGTGCCTCTACAAAATCCAAGAAAGTAGAAATTTAAATGTAATCAGCCTCAGAGAACCAAAAAGGCACAAATGTTTCCATACAATATTTGGATGATACCTTCTTTTGCCTAAATAGGGGTCCTAATCTAGAATCCTAACATGCCCACTCTGTTTGGTAGGATAAAACAAGAATTACAATCTTACACACTTGGAAAATGCCAATCCTGAAAAGCTAACCTAAGCTGAAATATTCTCCTCTGCTTTCCTGGAAAGGTATACATTTGGAGAACATTTGGGGGGGGGGGGATTTGATATTAGCATTATTTCTTGTCAAAGAGGGGCCAGACAAGTTATCTTAGTATCAGAGTAAGCCTCAGGATTGGTCACATTGGGCAATAGGGAAGAGGTAATGTTGATTTAATTCTTATAAATAAACATATAAATCTAGGGTGAAGTTTGTGGCCACCACCTTAAGCAAGCAGGCAGCATTTTATAATAATATTTGATACAGTCTATTTTAGTACAGTACATTAAAGCTTGATCTTTTCCCCCCCATCACCCAGTGGCATCACATCTTATCAGTCTGAAACAACAAAGATGAAAATATGGGCAATAACGGAGGGAAACAAGATGCTTCAAATAGAGTGATTAATATCACTTTTGGTCCTCAAAAGTGATGGTAGTTTATACAAATCAATCACCTGGGTAAGACCAAAAGACACTATCACCCAGGCTGCCCGAAAGACAACCACTGCCTATTATAAACTGCACTTAATCACTTACTTTAAAAGGTGATAGACTTTTAGCAAAGAATGGAGAGTTGTTGCCATTTAGTCTGCCTTGTTAAATAACAATCTGCTATTAAAAAGGAAATGTTAATTTAAACTTTGTCTGCATTTCATCCAACATTTTCACAATGCAGTCTTATTGCTTCTGTGTAGATAATTTTAATTGTTTTTCAGAAATATAAAGTCTTATCTGCTGTGTTGTACTCAAGTATATCTGTATCCTCAGTGTTTGACTGCTTTTCTATTTTGGTATAAATATTAACCAACATTTTTTTGTTGTTGCATCTCCTCTTTCTCCCCCTTCTCTTGTTTTGTTTTTCCCCCTCAAGTTGCGCATGCGTGCATTAATAGCCAAGGGTGACATGATGGATTGAACCAGAACTGGAACCTGAAAAACCGGAGAAACGTCGATCTGTATTGTAAATCCTGACTCTTAGTGTTTTGTTTTGTTTTTCCTGGGAAGAGTTCTAAGAAGTTAAAGTGTAACTGAGGGCATTCAGTAACTTTCATTTGCAATCTAAAGAAGAAGAAAAAGCCCTATGTCAGCTATCTTCTTTTCTGCTTCAGACATATTTCAGCAGATGGTTGTAGTGGGGTAGTTTGACCTAAAAGCTACATAAACTAGAGATTATTTTCAGTCTACTTTTCATTGAGAAGCTCTTCTGTGGGTTTATTGCCATCCAGAAAACCCCATTTCTGTTTCAGAAAAAAAAAAAAAAAGAATAGCTCATATACAAAAGAGATTTTTTTCCCCAAAAAAATATTCATAATGGTCTGTGCATTGTTATTTCTTTGCTTCCTTCTGAGTATAAACATGGCCTTCAATGCTTGGGGAAAACATTAGGATTTCCTTTCTCAGTATTTAGGGGTGTCTCCATATCTCATTAGCTCTATATGGGCCAATGACTTGAAATATCGAGGGAGGGGAGGGGGGATTATGGATTTAGCTTGGCAAGGGCAGACTTTTCATTTCTGCTCATCCACTGGGTGACCCTGGGACCACAAGAACAGAAGTTATCTAATAGCTGTCTTTGGAGAAAATTAAAAATCAGACCAAGTACATTAATAAATAAGTAAGTGCATGTTAATTGATGCTTGGTATCAAATGTACAGTGCAAATGTACAAGTCAAACCCATGAATTTAATTTTAAGCAAAGTGTTTTAAGTCTGAATCTTCTCAAATACATTTGCTAAGTATCCTATTTTGTAAGAAGAGAAGTAGCATCAACAATCTAGAAAAACAGGTAAACACTTTAGAAATTAGACTTATTGTTTCCAATTTAACAGTACTTATAAATAAGCATCAAGCAGTTCAGTGTTGTTCCTTGTTTATTCAGAAGGCCTACTGGGCTCAGTGGAATAAATCCATGGCTGAAGTGTAGGGAAGGTTGCACCACAGGGATCATAACTATAAGGTTTCCCATTCCTAATGCTATAAAGTTCTGTTTCTCCAGACATGGCCCTAATATAGTTTACACATAAGCTCATTAAGTGCTGAACACATAAGCCATTGAACCAAAACACATTTTTCCATTGTTTTCATTTTAAATCACCTTTTGAAATCACTGAACTTTGGGGTCCCCAAATAAACTCAAGAATTGTTGCTGTTCAAATTGAAGCAGGGAGGATGATTAGCTTTTTTGTGATCATTTACATTTTTATTTTCAGATAACAAAGTTAGAATCACAGACTCTAGGCATTTAAATTGGTTAACAAACGTGGTACATAGAGACCACAAAACAGGAGTTATTAATTCTTCTGAAACTTTTGCATTTCTGTCCTAGTTCCTGGTAAAGATATCAATATCTTTTATTTCACATTACAAAATACTGTTCAGGTATCACTTTGGGACATCATGGCTGTGATTTAAAATATTTTAAATTTGCTATATTTTCCCATCTTTGTAATACAAGATGTTTTAGCTGCCTGGCAAATGATCACAGTAACTTTTATACAGAGGCCAGAACATTATTCAAATTGTGATAGGTTTCACAAGTTCCTTTAGTGTATTTTAATTTTAAAAATTATTTAAAATAAATTTAAATAAGCTATAGAGAGAACATAGGAAAGTATATTATTAGTGCTTACTTCAAAGCACTGAAAATATACACATGCATACACCCTTAAACAACTAAAATACTGTGAGAATTTTGAGAGGGAAAATGAAACATAAATGCACTAAGTAAATGAAAAAATAAACTTCCAGAATGTTATTTATAATTGAAAGCAAAACAAAGAAAAACTTTTGGCTTCAAGTTTTATAAACCTACAATGGCATGAAAGATGGTGAAGTAGTGTTCATTTTATGATGTTTTATCTTTATTGGAAGATATACTTATTTAGATGCACATTCCCAAGAATCTAGAGGAAAAAAGAGGAAAAATATATAAAATGAGGCCCAAGTTAAAAAGCAAATTGAAGTAAAACAGAAATTTACCTAGAGGATGTCCAAGATTTCTTTCTATTTGATGTGTGTATTATTAGCCTTCAAGGCTGCATTTGTTCACAAATAATCATTCATAATCATAAAGTCCACCTCTTAGCCTATTACAA